AGGGACAGGAAAAAAAGGGAAAGAATAGGACAAACCATATTGAATAAAAGGCACTAGAGGAAATTGTAGGATAGATTATGGGGAAAAATGCCTGGGAATTTGTTCAGGTCCTAACTGGGAACGGAAGGTGTCCTTAAGCAGGCCTCCCTCTTTCACTCCTCAAGAAAGGAGGGGGACCCCTGCCTGCTAGCTGAATAAGTAAACTCGGAGAATCGCCTTGCCAGGAGTTGTGCTTGGAGGAAACAGGGAAGAAGAGCTAATGCAGATCGTCCTCGACTTACCAATCTTGTGGCTGAGCCCCAAATTTCGGTCCTAAGCAAGACTGTGGCCACGTGAGTTTTGCCCCGTTTTACAACCTTCCCTGCCGCCGTTGGGAAGTGAATCACTTGCAGTTGTTAAGTTAGTAACACGGCTGTTAAGTCAATCTGCCTTCCCCACTGTCGGAGGGTCGCAAAAGGGGATGGCGTGACCCCGTGACGCCACGACCGTCATACGTACGTGCCATTGGCCAGTTTGGATCGCCTGACGGTAAGGATGCTGTGACAGTCGTTAAGTGTGAAAAACGTTCGTAAGGCACTCTGTTTCAGCGCCGTTATAACCCTGAACGGTTACTCAATGAACGGCGGTCAGCCGAGGACCAACGTTACTGACCCACTACCAGGGCAAATCTCCCTCGTCCTACTCCACAGGTAATCTCGCAAAGGCGAACATCTGCCGCTACCCTGCACAACCCCTCCAATATCAGAAACAATCCAAGGATGGCTTTATTCAATCCGCTTGGTTTCTGTGGCCAGCCTGTCTTGACGAAAGCCCCGTGCCACGGCGTGCGCCCACGGCACGACACGTGGACGCGTTCGCTACCGTGGAGGTCACAAGCCCCTCCTCGAATTTTCCTCCTTGTCTTACTCACCTCCAGAAGCTGGAAAACATGTTTTGGATGGGCACCTTTTGTCGATCGAGACTTAGAAAGGCAGGCTGTTATTTTTTTTTTAAATTATTATATATATATATATTTTTAAAAAAAACATCTCTGCCATATGGAGCTATAAAATTCCCTGTGGTCAGAGACTCTGAAAGTCATTCCTGTCCCCCATAACTCTGTATTTAGGGAGTGTGTGTAGAAATGCATATTGCAAAGAAAGAAGGTGACATAATATATATATATATATATGTAGGTCTTTGGCTGTTCGGGTTTTCTCCCGCGTAAAATTGGAAGTGTCTTGGCGACGTTTCGACGAAGTCCCATTCGTCATCTTCAGGCTGGTGCTTTCAGCTTCGTGCTTCGAGCACGAAGCTGGCAGTTAAAAGGAAGAAACAGCTAAGACCACACATTGCTGCTCAAAGTACGAAGCTGAAAGCACCAGCCTGAAGATGACGAATGGGACTTCGTCGAAATGTCGCCAAGACACTTCCAATTTTATGCGGGAGAAAACCCGAACAGCCAAAGACCTACATACAAATACCCGCAAAAACCTCAGAAAACATATATATATGTTTCATATATATATGTGAAAACATATATATATGTATATGTATATGTGTGTGTATATATATATATATATATATATATATATATATATATATATATATATATATATATATATATATATATATATATTTATATATTTATATTTTGGGGAGGGGGGAAAGGAAAAGTCTGAGGAATTAAAACAAACTTAAGCGCCAGTCCAAACTCAATCACCTTGTGCCAGCGACAGGCAAGGGCTTTTCCCTATCAAAGCAACTGAAGGTCAGCCTTCTCCTCATTGATCTTGCAATGTTTGTTAATTACTCTGTCACTGATGTGGCGAAGGATAATTAAACAGCTCTGTTTATATCTTATATGCATAATTATGAGCGTTGCCAGTGAACTCACGGAGGGAAGGGACAAATGAAGGGAGATGAGTTTTCGGCTGCCTTATTAAACGGGAGTGCGACGAGGGAGGGGAAACTTGGAACTCCCCCCCCCAACACACACCCTCGCCCACCCACCCCCTGCACAAAAGGGAGAATTTTTGACGGATCATTGGTGAGATCGGGGGGGGGGGGTGCTTGTGAGAGATGCGGGGAGATGGGTGAAATGTCGAGCAAAGTTATTAAACCTGAAGGGGAGTTAAGACTTCATTTGAAGAGGCCCTTCTCCTTGCAGGGTGGGGCGAGCGACCTCTGGAAACTCAATGGTAAATTGCTAGGCGCTCTGCGGCTGCTTTCGCCCCCCCCCCCCGTCTTTTAATCCTTTTCCTTCGTAATAGTTTTATGGGGCTTCTTATGCCCAGCTATCTCTTGTTACGAAACCTAAGATTGAGCGGGCACGTCACAGACGTGCACGGACAAACATACACACTGGCACCCCTTTTAAATTCCTAAAGCATTACAGTTTAGAGTTCACAATATATTGGTGGCTGAATTTGGCAAAACAAAAACAAAAACAAAAAACAAATGCTGCTTATAAGTCTCCCTTTTCCTTGGGCCGAAGGTCCCCAATCCCAGGGCCACAACCTGCTACCGGTTCACAGGCTGTTTGAAAGCGGGCCATACGGGTGATGGGCAAGCGGGCATGCACGGAGCTCCAATCACATGAGCGGTGGGCCCTGGCGCTCCCATCCAAGGCGCTGCTTGCGAAGGCACTTCTGTTTGCGAAGTGCCCTTCGCGCATAAGGAGCTTCGCACGCGAGCGCTCTCCGCTCGCGCGGGGAGCTTCGTGCACACATGCAGGCCGGCCACTCACAAGCCCCCTCCCCACCAGGCTGGGCTGGCGAGTCGGAAAGGTTGGGGACCGCTGTGTTAGATGACAAGTAAGCCTTCCACTTACAACAATCCGTTTAGGGAGCCTTCAGAATTCATCGCTGAAAAAGGTGATTTATGAGCATTTTTCACAGTGACCACCTTTCCCGCGTCCCCGTGATCGTGGGATCAAAATTCGGACCCTTGGTCCTTGGTTCATACTTACGATCGTCGCTGTGTCCCAAGTTCAGAACAATTAACCAGTGGAACAACCTGCCTCCAGAAGCGGGGAATGCTCCAACACAGGACGTTTTTAAGAAGAGACTGGACAGCCACTTGTCTGAAATGGTATAGGGTTTCCTGCCTGAGCAGGGGGCTGGACTAGATGACCTCTAAGGCCCCTTCCAACTTTATTACTATTATTATTGTTGTTGTTGTTGTTATCAATCATCGCACAGTCAGCCAGATGTTCAGACTGGATTTGGCGTTTTGTCTACCTATCGAGTCCTTACCCAGGTCCTGGGATAGGCAGATGTGGATGTTTGATGGTATTACAGATATCGTCGCAGGATGGAAGCGGTTCCTAGTAAGGCCGCCTTTTGCAATTGACTAATAGCGAATTTGTCAATGCCAATGGTGTTCAAGTGGTGCTCCAGTTGTTTTGGGATTGCACCCAAGGAGCCTATTACTATTGGTACAACCCTTGCTTTTGCCACAGTCTTTCTATTTCTATTTGTAGGTCTTTGTATTTTGTTATCTTCTCCAGTTCTTTCTCTTTTGTTGTTGTTGTTGTTATTATTATTATTATTATTATTATTATTATTATTATTATTATTATTATGTTATCCCCTTTTGCTCTTTGTAGGGCTCTTCAACAGAAGAAATGGGAAATCCTTACGCTGAATTTTGCATATTAAAAAAGGAGCGTGCAAACGCCTCTCTCCCCCCCCCTTGCAATAATGCACAGCTACATTTAATGGACGTTACCGGTTCAATTAGCTTCATATCCAAACTCACCCCCTGAATGGCTCCCCCTGGCTTAACAATATCCCTTCAGGTTCCCCCTCCTATCTCTAGATTACACAGACTGCAAACCAGGAGGGCAGTTTAATTCAAAGTAGGAGGATTTTGAAGGGGGGGGGGAGGGCACCATGCCACCTGTGGGAAATGAAGGAAATCTTCCTTGCTCGGGAAAGAGTTGAGTGGGCATTTTTTTTTCCCAAGCAGGAATTTGTTGTTATTTAAAAGAAGTGTGTGTGTGTGTGTGGGGGGGGAAACAATCCAGGCTGAAAGAGGAAAGAAAGGATTGCCGAAAAGGAATCGTGCAACTAAGAAAACAAACGCTGGAAGAAGAAAAAAAAAAGGAAATTCTGTCCTGCAGAAGAAAAAAAAAAAAAGGGGGGGACTAAGGAATAGGAGTTGCTGCTGTTTGATTTTGATTTTTTTATTTGATTTTTAATTTTCTTTACATCCTTGCCTTTATGTTTTGGACATCACAGTGTCCAAATTCTACTGGACAAGCCTGGCTTGGCTCACCCACCCATATTGTTCTTCTTTTTCTTCTTGCCATAAAAAGAAGAGAGACAGGCTCTCCGATGGCTGCAGCGCCCAAAAGCATCAGGTGGGCACAACGAAAGAAAGGAGGAACTGTCTTTTGAGATGCTACTTGGGGGGTGGGGGGTGGGAAGTGTATCAAACTGCAAATCCCTGCATTATGGATTCGGTTTATTTCGTTCACCATTCTGTACCTGCGCTCGCTGCACTGCAGGCCCATTATCCGTAGTTTAGTGGTTGCTATTAGTGTTTTAAATCATTCTGAATAATATGTATTTAAGTTTGGGCCTTTTAAATAATACATCGGAATGGTCCTCATTTATTATATATGCACAAGGTAGCATTGACTGGTCTAATGGCACCGTGATGGTTGACTCACGCTTCAAATAATCCCATTTTAAATCTACGTACAATCGCATTTGTTTAAAAGGGGGTACTGTCCAGGTTACAATGGAAGGAGGGGGGGATGATGCAAGGCTGGGCTGTGGTCTTCCGGTTACTGAAAAGACACTGAACTGCCCTGAAGGAGCTATTTGGATGATGTCAACCCACACCCATCTTGCATATCTGTCCAGGTCCTAGATCTCCAAAACATGCGACTCACCCCATTCCATGCAAAACATGCCCCCCACCAAGGAGATTGTCTCAGGTTTTCTGGAAAGGCAGGTTACCCGTTGCACCCAAAGTAAGACATCTGAGCTGCCGTGCGTGAACCATCTCACCTGCAGGAGCTCCTCCACCGAGCTTGGAGCTGGCTTCACTGTTGGAGGCCCGAAAGCTTTCGTCCTTCGGGGGAGGCCCGTCCGAATCGCGGTCCTCCAGGAAGCTGCCATCTTGGGAGTCCTTCAGGGGTGTGGCTTCGTCCCCGTTATCCTCATCGTCGCTGCAACCTTTCGGCTGGACCATGTAGACTCCCTCGGGGGGCACCTCCGTCCCCTCGGGGGCCTTGGGCTCCTTGTTCTCGATGCGCCCCAGCAAGGGGTCTTCGCCGTACTCGCCGTTGACCCACTTCTCGATCACCTCCCTCCGCTTGTCCTCTTCGATCTTCTGCACGCGCTTCGGCCCCTCTGGAAACTCGGCCCCCGGTTCCTTGGCGGCTGCCTGGGCAACCTCCTTGGGGCCCGCCGCGTCAACGCCAACGCTTTCCCACCCAAGGGGAGCTCGGTCGACATGTCCCTGCTCAGGTCCTTTGTGCTCAAAGACTACCTGGCGGCTGAGCTTGGCACAGATTGCGTTTAATTTCAGGCCACCTTTGCGCTTGGCAGCCATCTTGGGGTTTCCTGAGATTGTGTCAGTGCATATTCTTCTTTCAGCTGGAGGAAGGGGGCAGGGGAAAGAGCGAGAGAGGGAGAGAGAAACAAAATGAATATTAGCAGAGGTGTATTCATTCTTCTATCCAGTGGTGGGATTCAACCGGTTCTCTGCATGGATGCCACTTCTGGAAGTCCATTCTGGGCCTGGCCAACAAAGAATTAGCTACCGCTTCTGCCGAAGTGGTGCGAACTGGCTGAATCCCACCACTGCTTCTATCCCAAGCATGTATAATGGCTTTTCAAGGCCACACGCTCCAAATAATGACACAACCCGTACATATAAATGTATAATAAACACAGCAAATACTATAGATCAGGCATGTCAAACTGCCGGCCCACGGGCTGGATGCATCACGGTGAAACCGTGCCCACCTCATTGCCGGCAATGGGGAAAAAGTCCCGATACGTCGCGCGACGTCACGTGACATCACGAGTTTGACATGCCTGCTGTAGATAGGGGTCCTGAACCCCCGGTCCGTGGATCAGTACCGGGCATACCAGCAACCAGGCCGCACAAACAAGCAAAGCCCTATCCGCGGGATGGAGACAGCACACAAAACCACACCCTCTCCGGTCCACGGAAAAACCTCTCTCCACGGAACCAGTCCCTGGTGCCCAAAAGGTTGAGGGCCTTTTCCCTAAACTCTCCTGAAGATATTACCTAGCCTGGTAACGTTCGGAAAGCAACCCGCAAGCTTGGAGAACGAACTTTCCCCTTCATATACTCTAGATATTTGAGAAAAACGTGATCTTGGAAAACCCAACCGCTTGTCCAGGAGGCCGGAAAAACAAAGGATCTCAAAGATTCATTTGAGGCGCGTTCAAAACCCTTGACATCAAGACGACTGAGGCCTTGTTTCGTGTGCCCGGCCTGACTGAATTGGGAAGCGGGTCTGTTTGTGTCTTTTCCCCTCATTCAACGAGTCTGCTCCAAGAATAAGGAGCAAGAGGTATATGGACACGGAATTTAGACTTGATAAAATGAAGTAACCACCTCTTTGCAAAGCTCTGCCTGGGCGCTGTGTCAACGATGCCCTTTCTCTCTTTCCTGCCACTAATTTGTCCCATGTGCCCAAGACCTAATTCTGCTCCCCTCTAACCTGTTTGTGGGGAGAAACAGATAAGAGTGCCCGCACACTTATCTTTCCATAAAACAACAAACACCCCTCTCTTTAAGGTAGCAATTGGAGATTAAGATCTGCAACGCGAATTATATCACAGGTAACCGTACGTTTTTTTACTTTTATTATTATTATTTCTTATTATTATTTCAGGGGGCTTTATTTGGAAGTTAGTTGCCTGGAGTGGCTGGAGTTAGATAAGATGTATCTACTAACAAACCAACCAAATTAGAACAACACTTGGCTTAGGTTTTAAGACACCCCCCCCCCAGACCTTTCCCTTGCTTCTGCCCCACGTATCCTCCATCCAGCCCCGGGTATCTTTCCCACTTAAGCCCTAAGAGGTAGGCACAGCATGCCATCTATCCCAGGCCTGGTGGTGCACCCAGAAGCCTTGTGTTTTCCCCCGTGCTTCAGCCTGACAGCCCCATAGAACAGCCTGAAACTTCAGAACGACCATCCAATTGTCAGCAAGAGGCTGCTTGGCTGAGTGGCTGACCGCTCTGGGCACCATTTCCCATGAAGAGTGACAGGGGAGAGACCCACTGGCCGATGGCTGATCCACAAACAAGTGACAGCAAGGAGCAAATGCCCCTTAAAACATCCTCAAAACCTTCCTGGACATCAAGTGATTTTTTTCTGCCTCCGCAACCGACATTCCTAGGCTGCCAAAACGAGCATTGCTCTGCTCTGATTGTGAATTGTGGTTTCTAAAACGTTCTTTTATCACTTCAGCCACTTCGGGAAAGTTTCTCTTTCTCCTTTCCGTTGGCTAAGTAGTCCGGTTCCCACCATTCCTTTCTCTTGTGGGACGAAGGCAGCCAGCCCACCGTATCCACGCACCAATTACGGGCCCCGTTTCCCGTAATGGTTTGCAAGATTGCACTGGCCGGCGAGCAGAAAGCTGAAGGCAGAGGCTGTTGATCTCATTTTCAAAGTGGCAGGGAGCGTAATCAAAACGGATCTAGCCCGTGGGAGGGCCAGCGAACCCTGCAAAATAACCCAAGCCTCCACTCTGCATTGTTCTTTTTCACCCACAACAATGCGATGCCCCGATAACAGTGGAACGAAAACACGTACACCTGTAGAAAAAACACACACACGCCCGCCCGTATCCTCAGAGAGAGGGCACACCCTGAACACACCTAGATACATCTAGGTTCTGCGGAACGCATACCCAGATGCTCTCTTTCTCCCGCGCGCACACACACATATCTGCTTGCGTAATAGTGGCTTAGAGGGGAATCCAGGTCAAAATTTCGTCACCGTGTTTCCTTGGCCTTAGCTGCTCCAGAAAGAAGGAGCAGCCTTGGCCCACATCTCAGCTACACCTCAGCCGGAGAGGGTTAAAGGAAATTAACACCTAGCCCAGCTCCAGATCTGGGGAAGGGTCTGTGTCTGTTTGTCTGTGTGTGGGGGGGGGGGGAAGAGGAGAAACGAATTTTCAGGTAGTCCTCGACTTACGACAAAAGCTGAGCCCAAAATGTATGTCGCTCAGTTGAGTTTTGCCCCCTTTTATCACGTTTCTGGTCACTGTCATTATATGAATCATTTCAGTTGTTAAGCTAAGTAACACAGTTGTTCAAAGGGGATCTGGCTTCCCCCCCCCTTGACTTTTCTTGTCAGAAGACCGCAAAAGGGGATCGTCGCGTGACCCCCCCCCCGGGATACTGCAACCGTCATAAATATGCCAAGCGTCTGAATTTTGATCGCGCGACCGTGGGGATGTTGCAAAGGGTCGTTAAGTGCGAATGGTGGCCGGGCTTGGAGAGATTGGCTAATTGGAGAACTTGGGAGTCAGCCTGTCCCCAAAAGCCACTGCTGATTCACTGCAAAGAGAACTGATCTAGGTGCATTAACGCCCAGAGTGAATCTTTTGGGCAAGGCAGATGTTCCACCATCAGCCAGAGGTGATATCAGCTCTTTGGGATGGGATCGGTTGACAAACAGACACTCCAAAGACTCTATTTGGGGGCAGAACAACAGATTCCATCTTCCCCCGATTGATCACCCCTACGATATCGAAGAACATCAAGGCAGAGCAGTCTTGAGTTTCTTTCTCACACCCTCTCCCTTCCGGTGTTTACTGGTGTTTACTAAGGGCTGCTGAACTCCTTCTCCAGGGCCATCTCCATACTCTCCTACAGGTAGTAAGAGGCCACATATTCGCAGTGTCCTGTCATTCCTTCCACCCTTCTCCTCTTTCAGAGTAACAGAAAGCCCCCTAAGTGGAACCCCCCCCCCCACAGGATTCCCTTCCCATTTGGCAGCTCCTATTAAAGAGCGGATTTGAAGATATAAACCTTTTAGAAAGTTTTCAAATGACGATTGGTTAAAAAGCACAATCTGCTGTTAAAAGGCCGCTCTTTGCACAACAGATTTAATGGAGGGGGGGAGAGAGAAACCTGCCCCCAGAGTCTTTTATCTTTCAAACTTCGGCATCAAGATAAACAGCCCTGGACACAAGAGGGAACGCAGGGAAGCAACTGCCAACGGAGGCAAAAATCAACCTAGGCGAAATACTATTTAAGCTCCGGTTCTCTTTGCTTATTTCGGAAATAAAATCACTCTGCTGGACAGAGCCAGCCTTAAGTCCAGCCTGTGAAATATAGACTAGCTAGAGAAGAGCCAATCCTGGGGTCCACCCATCTCCCCCTGGCTCGAAAGGTCAGCTTAAACACCCCACCCTCCCATTACACACACACACACACATATACACACCACACAGAGTTTGGATTCGCCATCCAGGGCCCTGCCTGAAAAAGTTTCCAGGCTATGTAAACTTCCCTTAGGATTTTACTTCTCCCTGAAAGAAATGTTTTGCTTTTGGATCAATCCAAGGAAGCCATTTATAACCCAGGCCTGTCACGGAGTCCTGTTTCATCTCGACCCAGGACATGCTCTCCCACATGCTGTATTTATGTTGGGCGCTTCCTGAGAAAACAATGCCTGCTCTCAGTGTTTACAACCACGAGTTGGCCTGAGTGAAAGTTGGGAGGGGGGGGGGAGAAAAAAAAAGGAGGAAAATGGTTAGGAATCCGTCCGACTTTCCACTCACATTGGGAAACCGGTGGCAGATCCAAATCTCCTTCCGACAAACAATCAAATATTTTTTTTTTTAAAAAAGGCTCTAGTCCTCAAGAGGGTGCATAACTCAAATGCCACGCACCTGCACAGCAGCAAGGAAAAATGAGGAACGGAGGAGGAGGAGGAGGAGGAGGAGATGTGAACGGCCTTGCCTCACACTTCCTTCTCAGAGTTTTTTAAACGCAGGCCACCTTACGGAAAAGTAACCACTGCGTGTGCAAATGTGCTTAACTTGCAAATATCCACCGAGGCCACAACTTTTATCTGAGGGTTCAACCTGGACTGATAAAACAACAAGGACAACAACAGCACAAACACCGTGGAGGCAAATCCTCCAGACACTTTCCACTTCCTTCAATGCAAGTTGGACCTTCGCTGTCAACACAGGCTGGCGAGAAAGGGTGGGCAGGAGAAGGCAAACCGGGAGGGAGGGTGGGCAGGACAAGGAGGGGAGGGGACCATGTCTTAGGGTGATGCCCTGGAGGAAGGGGGCTCCAGCCGGTGGGAGGGGCTGGGAGAGAAGGGGAGGGCCACCCCGCAGCTACGAAAAAGCGGTGGGCGAGGAAAGCGAACAGGGGCCTGGGAGGACTCTCACTTCAGAGGCCTGGGAGAAAAAGGGAACAGATGGGTTTTTCGTATTCTTATTGAAGAATTTTCAGCCCAGCTGAGTAGCTGCGCTCCAGAGGAAAGCGCCGTGCCAGCCTCGCAGGAGCCAGGAGGGTTTCAGCCAATCAATTATTCACCGCATTGTTTGGGGCAGGAGAGGGAGGAAGCGGAGGGGGGCCGGGCAGG